TTTGGGAAACTCTGTCTCTCCCCCGCCCCCCAAAACCTTTCCCTACCTGGGTAGCCTTGGGAGACTCTTCCACCAATTCCCTGGTGAACACAAAATCAATCAGGTTCTTAAAGACAAGGCTTTTAATTAAAGAAAAAGGTAAAAATCATCTCTGTAAAATCAGGATGGGAAAATAACTTTACAGGGTAATCAAACTTAAAGAGCTCAGAGGACTCCCCTCTAGCCTTAGGTTCAAAGTTACAGCAAACAGAGATAAACACTCTAGTAAAAGGTACATTTACAAGTTGAGAAAACAAAGATAAAACTAAGACGCCTTGCCTGGCTTTTACTTACAAGTTTGAAATATGAGAGACTTTCTCAGAAAGATTTGGAGAGCCTGGATTGATGTCTGGTCCCTCTCAGTCCCAAGAGCGAACACCCACCAAAACAAAGAGCACAAATAAAAGCCTTCCCCCCACCAAGATTTGAAAGTATCTTGTCCCCTTATTGGTCCTTTGGGTCAGATGCCAGCCAGGTTACCTGAGCTTCTTAACCCTTCACAGGGAAAAGGATTTTGGAGTCTCTGGCCAGGAGGGATTTTATATAGTACTGTACACAGGAGGGCTGTTACCCTTCCCTTTATAGTTATGACAGGGAGTCTGTGTGTGTGCGAGATTGTGTGTGTGTGTGTGTGTGTCTGTGACATTGTGCCGTGTGTGTAGTTGGGGTGCATGTGAGCTGTGGGGGTGGGTCTGTGTGTGTGCGAGATTGTGTGTGCGCGCGTCTGTGACATTGTGCCGTGTGTGTATTGGGGGTGCATGTGAGCGTGGGGGGGTCTGTGTGTGTGCGAGATTGTGTGTGTGTGTGTGCGCGTCTGTGACATTGTGCCGTGTGTGTATCAGGGGTGCATGTGAGCTGGGGGGGGTCTGCGTGTGTGCAAGATTGTCTGTGTGTGAATTGGGCTGCGTGTGAGGTGTGTGGAAGAGTCTGCGTGTGTGTGTCAGGTTGTGCTGGGTGTGTATCGGGGGGCATGTGAGCTGTGTGGCGGGGGGGGTCTGCGTGTGTGCAAGGTCGTGCTGGGTGTGTATCGGGGGCGTGAGGTGTGTGTGTGGGTTTGCACGTGTGCGAGATTGTGTGTGTGCGTGTGAGGAGTGCTTACACGTGTGTGTGCACAGATATGATCTGTGCTCCTCGTGGCAGAACCGGCTGCAACCAGCCCTTCCCCTGGGGGTCCGAGCGCAGCAGCCCCTGCCCTGGCGAGCCGCGGAAGGGGCCAGATTAGCACCAGAGCAGGCCCCCGTGGCCCAGCCGGGCCCTGTCCGCGGGCAGGGCAGCTCGTCCCCCACAGCCCGTCCAGCCCCCGAAGGTGCCCATGGTGCCATCAGCACCAGTCATGGGGAGGTTGCAATGCAGACGCCTGCCCCAGACCCATCTCAGGCGGGAGCCCCAGGGCTAGCGTGGGAGTGGGGAGCCCGGCCCGTCAGGCGTGGGGGGATGGAGCGCAGATCCTGGGGTCCAGATTCCCGATTGCCTCAGCGGGCAGCAGCAGCTCTTGACTGACTCACCGGCTCCTGGCAGCCCTGGGCGCACGCTCGCTCCCCCACCAGCTGAGCCGAGCGCCCCGGAGCCTCAAGGCTGGAGCCAGAGCCCCCCACTCCGGAGAGCCCGCGCTGAGCCCCCCTGCTGCATGGCCACCAGCAGCCCCTGCCCAGAGTCAGGAGCCTGGGCACGTGTAGGGCTGCCACCTTTCCAATCGCATAAAACCAAACACCCTAGCCCCGCCCCTTCCCAGAGGCCCCGCCCCCTGCTCACTACATCCCCCCTCCCTCAGTGGCTTGCTCTCCCTCCCCCTCACTCACTTTCACTGGGCTGGGGTATGGGAGGTGGTGAAGGGTGCGGGCTCCGGGATGAAGCCAGAAATGAGGGGTTCAGGGTGCAGGAGGAGGCTCCAGGCTGGGGCAGGGAGTTGAGGTGTGGGAGGGGGTGAGGGCTGTGGCTGGGGGTGCGGGCTGTAGGTGGGGCTGGGGATGAGGGGTTTGGGGTGCAGGAGAGAGCTACGGGCTTGGGCAGGAGGTTGGGGTGCAGGAGGGGGCTCCAGGCTGGGGCAGGGAGTTAGGGTGCGGGAGGGGGGAGGGCTCCGGCTGGGGATGCAGGCTCTGGGGTGG